CCTTGCAAATGCAGTCTTAAGAAAGATTCTAGATTTACCTTAAAAGCTTATTTAAGTAGAGCTTTGAAAAACCATTCCATTGATATTTTTAATGCCGGATATTTTCTTCCAACATCATTTTACAACTTCACTTTGAAAAGTGTATCTTTCATTTCACTGCATCATATTGCGTAAAAACGAACCTATGTGAATTGCAGGAAGAAACGACGCGTCCATCAAATGAAACAAGCTGAAAGATTTCACTTTCCTCCACTTGGACTCATCTCGTAATTCACAATTCGATCAACGAAAAACAAGAAAACGGACAAAGCTGAACCGAATGTCTATGAATGTGTGGATCTCGCTAGCGTTTGCGTCTTGAGTACTATAAGCTTAATCAAACAGCTTTTACCCGATCACGTCACCAAAAGCCTCGAGTGGCCACTTTGCGGAAACTCACCCATTAATCTCTTGGAGCCTAAGGGACTAAACTCATTGACCATATCTTACGAGATCTTGCAAAATTGCTGGAAATAATAAATGAACAGAACGATCGGGGGGTTCACAGTGTCCACTGTGATCAGACAGAGATCACACACTGAGTTTAACAGTCGAGGAAAGTGCTTGATACAAGAAAGTCGATTAAGGAATCTCATCTCTTTCATTAAAGATTTCAGGTATGCAGCATTTTTTGAGTTCCTCTGTAAACCTATCAAAAGGTTTTCTCTGATTTGTCAAATTTCAATCGCGTACATTAGCTGTTGTCCAACGGCATTGCAAATTTCTTTTCTTCATCGATTGCAAATTGTTTGGGTACATGAAAATAAGAGAGATGGTAGGTTTTGAACTTGGTAAATAACTAGAGAAAGATGTTTTTCTTAGACGAAAAACATCTCTTTCTTTGTTTGGGTACAGTTTAAATTAACACATTCTTGGACAAGTTCTGCCTGTAGGTTTGCGTAAGAGATGATTCTACATCTGTGACAGATCACCACCTACCCACAGCCAACGAGTCTAGCACGATCTCCAGGTTTCTAGCTTTTTCAGCATTTTACAGTGCTTTAACAGGCTAAAAGAGAAAATATCGGGACCCGAGCAATCCATTAAGATTACTGATCCAATCTGATTTTATCTGTACCTCTGGCAAGTTCATATATTGCATAATTTGCACTTATTGCAAAAAGTTCTTTATTTATGCGAAACAGGAAGACGACTAGACGAACAATTTTCGAGAACAGCAGGTAATTTAGCGTCAACAACTGAGCTGAAAACGTAACTTGGCCACCGTAAAGAGTAAAAAAGCTGACGCTCTGCGAATCGCTCTGACGAAGGGCTAACTCTCGAAACGTCATTTTTTTCGTTTCCTCAGCTGATGATATGTTCGCAAAATCATAAGTAGCCTTGAAACTGTCGCTACGGGTTACATTCAAGATTTGCGTCAGACTTCCACTGAAGAGAATTTTCAAAGGAAGAACGGTAAAGTTCTCTTGGTTTTTTCGAAGTTCACTTGCCGCCGAATACCTCAGTGGTATCTAGGAATTAGTGTGTGTAATAATCACTTTGTTATTTTGTCAATTCGTTCAGTTTTACGATAGTTCTGGGCCCAGTTGTATAAAGGGCAGTTAACACTATGCAACAGATAAATAGCTATCCACCGAATAAGTGAGAGAAAAACCTACTGCACTATCTAACGAATAAAAGATTTATCCAATAAATAGCGTTAAACAAGCTTCGAACATTCAGAGCCTGATTGTGATGTTTTGTTCACCTTGAAAATCTAATGGTATTGATAGTGCACGTGCTTCTCTCAGTTTCCATTTTGCTTGTCATAAATAAAGGTAATACTGCGTAAGTGAAGTTCATTACTGCGAATATCAATCTTTTCTTCATTTATTAATCCGCAGTTCAAATATATGATATTCAGTAATACATTAACAGTCGAGCACATTTATGTTAAAGTTTCTATGAACAACACAGGGATCGTTTATCTAAGGGATAGATACAAGGGAATTTTAAGTGTGCTAAGTTTGACTTATCTTGTTCAGTCCTGGTGCCATTCCTGCTATAAGAACAGTTTTTGGTACTAACCATATCGCTTATAAGGCGAGTATGACAAGTCTTTGTAGGCAAGTGTATATAATTCTTTTCCTTTCTTGCCTTTGTATAGAATGGATGAAAATCAGTTAAAAGCCGTCTTAACAAAGTATTTTGGAGAAAAAACAGGAAATGTAAAGAGAGAAACATCCAAAGATGAACTCAAATGTATCTATGATGAACGGTCAGGAACTTATGACCAGGTACATAACAGAATTAAGAAAAAATGACCCAGTGCACTCCAAGAGTTATTGGCCCGTTTCATGAAAGGTCCAGTATTTTTTCGGGCCCGCTGCAATATTCATTCAACCACTTTGCGGTTGCTCGATTTTTTCAATCACACCTATGATTACAGATCGAATTGGACTCCACTCGGTCCTATTACCATTAATAAGAGTTTGATTTTTCTTAACGCGTAGTAAATATTAGCAGTTGGTGCTGCTTTTCACAAGCCACTCGCCAAATGTTTGCATAATGCCCTAAAGGAAGTTCTGAAAGACAAACCAAAGGATCAGATCAAAATTATGGACGCTGGAGCTGGGACGGGGCTGATAGGAGTAGAGCTCAAGAAACTGGATTACACGAACCTATGTGCTCTTGACATCTCACCTGGCATGTTAAACGAAGCAAAGAAGAAAAATGTTTACAACGAATTAATCTGCGCGCCTTTGAGCGGGCAGCAGATACCTCAGATTAAATCAGGGCAATTCGATGCCTTGATTTCTGGTGGGGCACTCCATGAAGGACGTGTCAGTTCATCTGCTTTCGTGGAGATGATCAGAATGGTTCGAGCTGGTAGGTCTTTAAATGGAGTTTACCGAGGCACAGATGCATTTGATTTACAGATGTCCACGGAGAGTCTCTTCTGTGGCTGGTTGTGAGACTTGACACTGAATCATCAATTAGTTGGGGCTCCATAACAAATGAAGTTTAGGAAACTTGCTCGTAATGTTTTGAGTCTTATGCGCCATAAAAAAAATGGTCTACGAATAAGCGGACGTTACCCCCGATAAAAATCATGCTTAGGTTAAACTTAAAATGAAAAAACACTTTCAACCAAAAAGGAAAGAAGGATAATTTAAGATTGAAGAGATTGCAAAACAGAAAAACGTGTAAAATTTACTAGCAACTTTTAGTTTTTTTGTTTGTTTGTTTGTTTTTTTAAACTATGAAATAGGTCGTGAAAGCTACCTAAGTGGATAGGCATGAAGTCTCAAGTAACAGGCTTCTTGGTGAATTCATTTAACATCTGGTATATGACCCGTGAATCTTTTCCTGGCTGCCAAATCTTCTCTCTGCCAATTCGCTTTAAGAATGTCTTATCATATCAAGAGCGCGACCTCTAGCTTCTCTCTTCATCTTTTAGTTAGATGATGTTATAATATTTTAAGGGAAGGGGAACGAATTAACCACCTCCGTGAATTAAATAATTGATGCATGGAACGATTCGAAAAAAGGATGGAAATTTCCCTTGACGAAACCTTAAAAGTCGACTAAATCCTAATATTAACTTCTTTGCAGATGGCCTCCTCTGTTTCAACATTTGGGAAGGTCAGTTAGGAGACTATCAAGAAATGATGAGGCAGCTGGAGAAAGATGGGAAATGGATCTGCTTGTCCAGAGAAACTTTACCTCTCTTTACAGCCGTGGACATGCCCAAAGAATGCTTGGGCTTCGTTTACAAAGTTTTGAAAAATTAAGCATCATGCCCCAAATTCACCCAGGAGCATTTTAGAAATTAGTACCTCAAAGATCATTTCTAATGCCTGTTGTGAAGTTTTGACGGCAAATCATAAGTAAGGGTATAAAATAAATAAAACTATCTGACCGACGGTGAACTGATTTTATACTTATTGTAACGCTTTATTACGCGGCAGTGGATTCGCTGATGCATGTTTTCTTTATGCAGGTTTTCGTTACACCCGTTTTCTTCGCGCATGTTTTCCTTACGCACGTTTTACAGACGGGAAAACTTTCGAAACGCTGGAAATCCACCTGAAGGCCCGTTCTTCGCACTTCCAGGTGCCAACGGCCCTTATTATATTGAAATTTTTTTCTAAGGAATAAAAACTCAAAATAATAGGCTCAAAAACCAGTCCATTTTCTTTTGTTACCTGATATCTTTAATTTTATTAATTTCAAAACTATACATCTTCGTCAGGGTCTTGAATGTAAACACCACCGTAAAATAACAGCTTTTCGGGATCTATAAGCACTGGGACTCTCGAGAAACATGCTCCTTGAGTTGAGTGTCAGAGGGAGAAGAACGAGCTTTTCATCAGCACTTTCAGTGCTGAACAACTCTTTAGCTAAATAACATACTTAAGGGATCGTTTCTGAGTGCAGCGGAGTAATCAGCATTCAATTACACCTGTTTTGTTCATTTCTCTTAATTGTTCTTCTCGTGCCTATCAGGAGGAGGATTTACAGTAGAGGTAATATAGGGATTAGCCTTAAAGCATAATAGCTCATGAACACAAATAATTTGTAGATCTTTCGTGCAATTTTCCATAATGATATGTGCGCTTTTTGGACGTAAAGGTGCTTTCGTGCTTGTGCCCTGTTTGGCTGAGCTGACTCAGCGTCGCTTACCAAAATATTTTCTGTGGAGGGCACCGTCAGCTCATTTCGATTGGTTCCAAGGGACCAGTCTGTATTTATCTCCTGTGGGAGGGATGGTGTGAATTACGTGGTTTTCGGGGGGAACGGAGGGGGGGAGAAACCATAGAAAACTGACTGCCAATTAAGGGGGGTCATAAAAATATCACAGGACTTTACGGGGGATCAGGTATGTTTTTGGTGACACAACCAAAATCTTCCGACCCCTCCCTCCTCAGGTGATAAGTAATGACCAGTCCTTAAATATATTCCGTTTTCCCTAGAGACCTCTCGTCAGTTAAATAATGTTTCATAATTTTTACTTAGACTTAGAGATCTTCACTAAACTGCAAATTACCATCCGCAGAGAACTGGTCAAGACATCCTGAGTGTCCAGGGATTGGACATTTGGAGAAGACACCCGGATGATAACGACCCCATGGGCCCTTGAAGGCCATAATGTCATTCCAGTGCTGCGCATGCTGATAAATGTTAGGCCCATAACGATTACGCGAAAAAAGTCCTGGATTTTGCATGGTAGTCACCCACAGACCAGCAAACATGATTTTTGTTGGCCGCAGACCTTTTGCAACGAGTAACTGAGACTCCATTGTACCTATGCCGTGCAGCTCAATTCTCCAATAGTTTCTATGAGTGAAGATCTTTCCTCCAGTCTTTCTGCCGTCTGCACAACACTCTGGTCCGTTTACTTCTATGAACCTAAAACCCGCCGCTTCAAATTGAGAACGGAGCGTCAGAAATGCTATATAGTTCTCTAAGAGAAATCTGATGTCAGCATCTTTCTCCCATGGCAATACCTTACCGAATTTTACAGCACCTAGAAAGGAGTAAGATTCATTAAGTTAGTTTATTACGAGAATTCAAACTTTGAAGTCACAAAGGGGTTGAGAGTCGTCGTGAGAAAGAACCGTTGTCCTTGGAAGTGAAGTTGCGATAACTGGAGTGGACGTCACAACTTTTGTACGAACAACTTCAAGCGAACGTATTTGTATACTTTTAGCAAATATAAATCCAGATTAGTAAGAATCAGCCGTTAATTTCTTAATGGTCTGGCATACACAGATGGTTAACCCTTCTTCCTATGTGTAAAGTAAAAGGACATTTCGAAGAGCGTTGTAAAACAAGTCAGAGTAGTCACTACTTCCAATCAAAACTTGGGTGAATACTTAAAGAGTCAATGAAAACTCAAAGTAAAAATAACCCAATTGAGGGACAAGAGGCGCGGGTAGAACGCGCTTGAGGCGCGGGTAAAACGCGCTTGAGGCGCTGGTAGAACGCGCTTGAGGCGCGGGAAGAACGCGCTTGAGGCGCGGGAAGAACGCGTTTGAGGCGCGGGAAGAACGCGAGGGACAAGTCGCAACTGATTGGTTTAAATTTTGCTCACAATCGGCTGACGAGGGAAACGTGATTTTTTCAGACCGTATAGTGAGATTAAGATAATCCCTGATGACTTCAGGCTCTCAACTGATAATTTTTAAAAATCAAATACCTAATACCGATCCGTCATCAAGCTCGCAGTACAGTCCAGCCTCTTCACAAACTTTCATTATAAACTTTACTGCATTTGCGAGATTTTCTAGATCACATGGTAGGACAGAAAATCCTTTCGCCCTGTGCCCAGGTCGAGTACAGGGGCGTTTGTTCGTGTAAGAGTATCCACGCCTGTAGCCATACTAGCGGACTCTGCCATTGGACTCAACCCATTTTTTCACGTCCCACTTTTGGGTCAAGGCGACGTAACTCTCGTCCGCAATTTCACGCTGATAGGTGTCAAACATGACGTCAGGGCAACTGACGATAACCTTCTCTGTGTGTTTGAATTTCAATCGCCAAAAAAGTCCTGAAGGACAGCGGATTCTAAGCTAAGAAGAAGAAATGAAAGATCATGCGAAACGAGTCCCGGCTATCTGTCAGAGAACCGGAGAACAAAGGAATCAGTCCAGAGGATCCCGATTACAAATTAATGATAGGACCGAGTGGAGTCCAATTCGGTCTGTAATCATACGAGTAATTAACAAGGTAAGAACAATCGCGAAGCGGAGTCCGATTTGTTAATCACGAGTTTGGTTGCAGAGAGAATTGGACGACAAGAAGTCCTGTTACTAATCAATCAAAACTATAAGAAAATTTGAGAAAAAAACTAGACATCGATTATGGGTTTTTATTTAAAAAAAAAAAAACAACAACGACAACAGTTAACTTGGCGAAATGTGGGACATGCGAGGCATGTCGGACGTGTTAACTGTCCCTTTCACCGTCCTATTACACTGTCCAATTACAAGCCTGACGCGTACACTACCCTAGTAGTGCTCAAATCGGGGTGATGATAACCAATCACGTCCGAGAATTTTGTTATAGTTTTGATTATAAACAATTATTGGATGAGGTTGAGTATGATGTCATGCGAAAACCGAGTTCAATAACTGTTTTAATACACCTTTTCACTACATGGAGTTTCTCTCTGAGTTTGGAAAAGTTTAAGAACAACCACATAAACCAGGACTTGGAAACTAGGCAGACTTTGATAAATGTAATATCGACATGATAAATGCGACATCCACTGGATATATTGGGTTATCGTGTCAACTTCATACACTTTTGTATTTGGATTAAATGCTCTCAACCGAGCAGATTTTTTTAGTAAGTCAAGTTTATGACGATTAAATTGTCATATCTTAACATCTAGAGAGCTCCTAATATGCTGAAAATAGGGGAGGGGAGCCAGGGGCTGAATTAAAAATAGAGATTAAATTACTTCTCCGTGGATTCTTAGAGATAACTCATTTCTTGTAGTAAGTAATGTTCTTCTAGTGAAAGTGTCGAAGGATGTCGAAAATAAATAACACTACTCAAAGATTAATCAATCTGCCGTTGATTTTCTAACTTTGAAAGGCATCTGTCTTGCAATCCTGAGTTGTAAGTTCTCTTTCATCTTTATTTTCGCCTCTGGCCTCCGCCAAATATCTTAAAAGCAGACTTGTGTCTAGGTAACATCGTATTTAAATAAAGACTTAAGGTAAACTAACCATCAGTATGCTTCAGTCATCCAACTTAAATGAAAACCAGATAAAAGAAACGTATTTTACATATTCATTATCTCCAATTAATTTTATCCTCTTGTTCAGCTTGATCCACGGGGAGGATAGATTTGAAATGGGGTGGAAGGTTGATCAGCCACCTGTGAAAAGATCAGAGCACGTCTATTGCGTAGGTATGACTACATTTCTTAGCATCTTTATCCAGTTGCTTGCTCGACGTTTGATGAAGATGAGTGGCCGTCGGACAAGTTGGCTGATCTCGTACCCAGATCCTATCGTTCAACTGTGACTGAAATGCAGGAACCTTACAACCGCTTAGCCATGGAAAAGTCTGCATGGGTACGAGACTTCAAGTTGTTATCACTTTTAGATTCAGTCGATTCATGCAAAGAAAAATATGACATCCTTCCTTTTTTTGCGATGCAACTAACCCCTTAACTCCCAAATCTGATTGTCAATTCTCTCTTCCAGCTGCTACACATTTTCTTGTAAATTAGTTAGTTATTTTCTTTTTAAATTAATCAGTTGGTTTAAATTAGTTATTTTATAGCAATTAGTTTGGTGTTAGGTCAAGATAACAACCTACCTGATAAGTTTGAATACTCTCATTACCTGTTTGCTGTATAATGTATGGATATTATTGGGAGAAGTTACAAATTAATCACTTCTGGGAGTTAAATGTTTAAAATGGATTTTGGATGATTTTTTTTTGTACGTTCCTCGTTGAATGAGGAAAGCGGGAAAGTTTCTCTGAGTAAAGTTATCGTCCCTCTCTCGTCAAAGAGGCAGACAACATGCACGTGACAAATCGGAAGGGAAATTATCCGTTATTACGGCCTAGTATGGTCTACCTTTTTTTCTTCCAATTATGATTATGTGAGGTTGGATAACAGATATTTCACTTCACCTTCTTGTTATCTACAAGACATGAAAACTTAAGGACCTTATTCAAGGATCTTGCTTCTCACAAAGGGAAAGGATATTCACACTTAGTGGATATATATTTTATTTTAGTCAAACGAGTCGTTGACATGAAGATCCGGGCTATCAAGGTCCAGTTAAAAGATGTCTAAGAATAACTTACCTGTTAATTCCGAGCGTTTTCCGTCACTGATCCGCTTAGTTATCGCCGAATGGTTAGACTTCGGTGTTGTATGGTCTGTTCCTGCATGTGGTCTAGTAGCAAAAATGTCTTACCCACACTTTGATTAATATCTCAAATCAAATTATAAACTATGGTTGTATTGATTTAATCTTGAGAACATGTTTTTAGCCATTGGCTCCTTGTTTTCCATTTAATATTTTGATCAAATAGGTCTTTCAAACCAAATATATGTTATCGATAGATTTAATTTGTTTAAAAAAAATTTAACTACAGGTTCTTCGTCCGATATTTAAGATTGGCTAATTTGTAGAAAATAAATGTAGTCAGTGATGAAGTAAAAATTTGCAAAAAAAGTGAAATGGTACAAAACTTTATTATACCTAGTTATGAGTTGTTGCCCAGCAATTTTCGCTTAGTTCATAAGAATGTTGTGACAGCTTTATTTAAACAATTCAAGGAGACGGTACCATACATCTTCACTCGTTTGAATACTGGTACTTGTAAAATAACACTTGTTACTTGCACAAACAAATAATAAAGAGCGCTTTAAAAAACCTCGGCCGTGAAAAAGTCTTTGCACGTTAGAAACCTATTTGGTGCGTCAAATCTGTGATTGATTGTTAACACTGCGCTAGCTAGTACTGTCACGGAGGGATCGTTATGCACTGAAAACCAAGATAACATGGGCAAGGGAGTTCATGTACAAAGGCATAAAGATTTAATGGCAAAATATAGTACATAATCGGTGGAGCAGGAGTGAGGGAAGGAGGAGGACTGTTTGAACGATAAGGCACTACACACAGACGAGTAATTTTCGGCTTTTTGCCATAAACAGAGAAACAGTTGCTTGTGAAACCATAGGTAGCGGAGCGATTTGGGTGAAATGGAAGTAACCTCTATGATATGATGAGATTCCGGTTTTCCTTTTGACATGTGTTTTTTTGTTTTTGTTTTTCAAATTTTCCTTCGTTTGTTTTGCTTCTTTCAAAAAAGGAACACAAAACAAGTCCATATAGTCATATGGAAGGCGAGAACTGGTACCGACACAATATTTACTTTCGGTGTGCCAGTTGTCTAGACGACCAACGATGAAGTATTGCAAAATTGAAAATAGACTGAACTGTGTCCTGTACTTGAAAATGATCAATCTTAGAGAGCAAGGGTGCGTTCCTTTGGGAGGATCCGGATTAGGATTTGTGATCCAAGATCACACATATCACGATGCAGTAAAGGAACGGAGCTTTAGTTCATCGGATTTGTTACTATGACAGCAGGCGCGAAATTGTAGAGCGCGTCAGCGGAATCGCGCGCTAAATTTAAAAACGAAAATAAGATGGCTGTCGCGGATAGAGCAACTGTTGTTTCGTTATTAGAGGAACTTTCCGATGATTCAATACTACAAGAAGCGAGAAGTTGTGAAGATGAAGATTTTCTATTGATTCTTTTGATAAGGGAGAGGCAGAGCCATGTTAGTAAGTAAGTAAGTAAAGACGAAATAGCCGGAGCTAATAAACTTGTGGCCCCTCTAAATAATAAATAAATAAATTATAAGATAATAAATGAGTATACTAAGCTATAAAAATACAAGGTAAAAAAACCAAAGAATACAGATACTGTAGAATCTACTAAATTATTTAAGAGATAAAATATAACTTTATAATCATGTCACAATTCATCAAGTAACTTAAATAGAAAACTGATCAAGATTCTGCTGTTGTTTAAAAAATTCATTCCACAATGCTTTTTTTAAAGAGACCACTGAATCCCTTTGCCTTACTGGGGCAAAGATAAACTGTTCCATGCTTTGCAAGCTGTGACGGTAAAAGCTCTGCCTCCTTCTGTTTCGCGATTATACCTCGGAAAGGTTAGGTTGAAATTGCAGTTTGTGGATATTACTGTTTAATTTAAGTAGATTGTCAAGATAAACAGAGACGTCATCTTGTAATCGCCTATAAGCAATGATACATTTAGATATTAAAGCGTCGTAGTAAAAAGGCAACCATTTCAGCCGATTAAACAAGGAATTGATAGTGTTAGAGGGAGGGGCATTCAGGATTACTCTAGCTGGTCGTTTTTGGAGCTTCAGGACCCGCTCAAGGCTTTCCTTATCACAATTAGTCCGGAGGACACTTGTATAATTAATCACTGGCTTGATCAAAGCATTGTAATAAAGCAATCTTTGTTTAAGGGGAAGATGATTGGTAATTTTCTTCAACAAGCCGATGCACTGTGTAACTTTCTTACAAACAGTCATAATATGCTCAGAGAAAGTTAGCTTCTCATCAGTCTCAAGACCTAGCAGCTTAACGTTCATAACATTAGTTAACAAACTGCTATTGCAAGTAATCTTCAGGTTATTGTTTATTTGGATCGAGAGTCGCTTTCCCTTCACGGTGAGGACCTTGGTCTTTTTTTCGCTGAGTGGAAGCCTGTTGGCCAATGCCCAGTTAAAAACTTCTGATACAAATGTGTCAAGAGATTCCTGCAGTCTTCCGATGCTGCCACAATCTGCTGACGATGTGATTGTAACATCGTCTGCATTAAGATCGATCGATTTCAGAGGAGCTGACATGAAGTGGCAGGTCATTAATAAAAACTGTGAAAAATAAGGGGCCGAGTATACTGCCCTGAGGAACCCCATGTTTCATAAGCGCCATGTCTGAGACGCAACCACCCAAATAGACAAGCTGGTGTCTGTCCGCCAAATAAGACTGGTTTATGAATACTGTTCATATCACGCCTGTTCTTTCCTGAGCCAGTCAGTGTTCTTACTGTCTTCCATATTCCTGTTGAATTGCCCCTATTTTCCTCGAAGGCATTGCAGAAAAATTTTCTTTTTGCGCTCCTAATCATTGCAACTGCTTTATTTCTTGCCGCTCTGTAATTAGACCAATTATCAGTATTATTGGAACGCCTCGCGGTTTTTAGGCAATTATCTCTCAGGTGTAGCTGTTTCACGACAGAGCTAGTCGTCCAAGGAGCATGGACGGCGCGCTTTACACGCTTTTCACGCCAGGGGCAATTTTCATCAAGTACGCTATTGAAAATTGACTTCCAAGAGTCCAGCATATCATCAATCTCATCAAATACGAATACTCTATCCCAAGGGGCCTGACTCGGTGCTTCTTTGAATCGGTTCTCGTCGAATTGCTTCATGTCACGATATCTGATATTCTGATTTTTCTAAATGCTACAAGATGCGCGCTCGTTGTTATATTTGCGTACAGCAAAATAGGCACGTGATCAGAGAGGCCACAGTTGAAAGTTGGTATATTCAATATTCGCTGAGGACGATTTGAATAGATGTGATCCAAACAAGTACCGCTAACAGGACGAGTCACCTCATTGACTAGCTGCGTGAAATTCATACCGTGAACCGTTTTAATTAACCGATGTTTATTAAAGCTCTTCTTATTTCTTCCGTCAATATTCACATCGCCTAAAAATGTTGTCTCCTTATTCAGCGAGTACACACGTTCGAAATTTTCCTCCAGAGATAAATCATCAGCTTTGGTGTATGAGAGTGGGCGGTAAATACTATCAATCAATAAAGATCGTTTCGATTTAAAAGGACAAACTTCGAGCCAAATGACTTCAACTTCTTGATTTTCTAGATCAGTTCTACGTATAACATTCAGGTTATCGTTTATATAAGCCATGACACCGCCGCTACTGAGATTTGTTTAGCCTATCTCTACGGTAGATAGAATAACCAGGCACCTCAAAGAGAGTATTCGGCACGTTCGGCTTCAGAAATGTTTCATTTAAAAGCAAAACGTTCAACTGAGGTTTACCAAGTTTTCCCAAAAGAAACAGTTTTATCTGGTCAAATTTATACAATGTCAGATGATTAACATTCCAATGCCCGATCCGAATGTTCTTTTCGTCCAGCCCTAGGTCAAAATTCTGTGTAGAATTTCGTCGACAGAGTCGCAGGAGGAAGTCGACTCGTTAAAAGGTCCAGTGAGTAAGCAAGCCAGTTCGTCTCGATTCGTCGGATTAAGTCGAAGAAAAACTTGAATCTTTTGGCGAATTCAGCAGGTTACCCCTCTCCATCGGCCCAGAATTTGTAGAAACATCGTTTGATTGGCCGTGAGGGTCAAGTTCAACAGTCAGACTGTTATGACCATTTTCTACTGGTCGCCATTACAGACGAATCGGCAGATTTACGCACCGAACGAGAAGACCTCATATAACTCGGACCAGAAATGATTTTAGCCTCAAAAAGACCTTCCAGACTTAAGCCAGCAATCTTGCGAGTGCATTGCAGTGGATCTTGATGAATAGGTAAATGATGACGGAGCGACGAAAGTCAGCCACCATACACGCTGTCTACCTGCATTGGGAATTATTTCGAACGTATTAAACCACTCTACATTGTTTCAGATTTTTAAGGTCATTTCGGATGTCAAGAACTACAGTCAGCTATTTGGAACGCCTGTTTGCTACTTGCCTAGGTCTGCCTCACGCATGGACAAAGGAATGGGGAAGACCTACCATTGACTCAGTTACAGAAGTAGGTATTGATTACGAAATGGATACTTGGGAATGCCTGTGATCAGTGGTCGATCGATTTAATATTACAAAATCGATTTTATTTCGTGTTTATCGCAGAATTTGGGGAGCGATTACCAACAATTTTTCCAGTCAATATATGAAGTACCTACTTGTTTGAAATTGAGCACCGCCAGGCAAAATAATTAATTTCGGATCCTTCGCCCAATGGAACGCGTTGGATCAATAATCCGTCTTTAGATCGCGCACATCAGTGATCCGATGAAACCTTGTTTAGAGTGAATTTGATAGATCACTGATCTGAAAATGGATTTGCTCGAAAGGAACGCCACAGATCAGAAATCCTGATCCGGATTCTCCCTAAGGAACGCACCCTAAGTACGTCATGACTCTGGTAATGTTCCTTTCAGCTAGCGGCGCTACTGTTTTAAAATGTGCCGTAATTATGCTCAGTTTTCCAAATTATGCCAAAAATTACACCAGCACAACCTATGAGGAGATACCCCTGCCTCAAGATCACACGCTGTCAGACAGTCCGTAGCGCATGCTCAGTTTATCAGAGGTCCGCCGAGACCGTGTACCCCTGACCAATCAGGGCGAAATCGTCACTGTATTTGCATATTTCGGATTCGACAGGTAATTGATAAACATCCTTGAGGTATTCTCTTACAGTGTTGTTCATGTTGTCAAAATTTGTTACCGAGTGACTGAAAGGGCAATTTTTTGGATGTAATTTGCGTGACAGCACATGGAGACGATTTATGCATGGGTACGTCTCTGAAAAATCTAAGATGTTTAATTATCGCCATAGTTGGCGTCTCTTTCATGAGTACCATGGCGATGTTTTTCTACTCTTCAAACTTCTGGAGGGGAACGAAAGTGAGTGAGAAAGATGAGCAAGAGGGCAAGGAAGACACTCAAAAATGGTTTACTACTACAGATCAAGCTTACTACTCGGCGTTTATTGGTGATTCCCTCAAAGGGCCGTCGACACCCTCCGACGGTATCAAAGAATATTTACCTCGAGTAAATTTGTCCCTCAAGCATTCAACACAGATGCCCACTGTTAACGTTTCAGTTGCAACTAGCACTGATACTGCTGAAAGTCTACCTACTGAACGGATTGAAGATAACGAAGCTCGGCAAAAAGGTAGTTCAAATATAAACGTAAGTGAAGCAAGGAAGACTGTTGATGCAAGTCGTGAGAGCGATTCAACGTATCACGAAGAACCTGCGTTCTGCCCAAAAGTTTCACAGATTCATGGTAAGTATTGGCTATTATTTGAATTTAATTTTCTTGAAATTTCAGTTGCGTCCATTTTTCACCATAAGGACTTAACTAATTTGTTTGAATCAAACTTTAAAATTTATCTTTTGTGATATCGTGACAATAGAAGGTTTTGAAGTGAAGGAAGAACCGTTATATTGAGCGTCATAATAGATTCGCGCTTTCACGAGAAATTTAACAAGTTCAAGTTTATTAAGTTTGCAGGAAAATCTTTGTACAATAATCACCTCCTGCAAATAGCGAGCTAATCTAGGCAGGCGGTGTTAAGGACATACAACACGAATTACAAAAACACGAATTATGCGAATTACTCGATTTTGCATACATTATTTGACAAAAGAGGGAAAAGGTGATAAAAAGTAAATTAATATATTATGTTTGAATTATAATTAAGATGCCTTTTTTATTTCAGAAATAAGAGTGCTAGTGTCAGCATAACTATCCAGACTTCCTAGAGTTGCAAATAGTAATGCTTGAATTTTCTTTTTGAATATGTGCTTCGGCAGACTTCGATAGCTTTCGGGAATACTGTTCCAAATTTTAGCCCCAACGATAGAAAAAGAGTTTTTATGATGATTAAGCCTAGAATAGTTAATATAGTAGTTACCAGAAGATGCTGATCGGGTATTACACTGATGTATGTCTTGTGTAGAAATAAAAAGATTGCAGATATTTTTAGGTGCAGAGTTAGTGGTTATATCAAGCATTAAGATTGATGAAAGTTTGAAGTAGAGCATTGTTATTGGCAGGATGTTAGATTGCGCGAAATATGGAATCGCATGCGTTCTGAAAGGCAGAAAGTAGATCAAGCGAACAGCTCTCTTTTGGAGTATAAGAATTTTTTCTAAATAAGATTTGGAGGCTTAACATTCAATATACATCGAGATATCATGGTACTTGACACAAAAGGGAGTCAAACTTTTACACATCTTTACAACAGTTTGCTTTACAGTAAAGACGAAGTCCTGTGTAAACTTACCGGTAAATATCTTCTAATTATAATGCATAATTTCTCAGATTCTCGCACTCTGATTGGTCGAAACAATCGCTAAAATATATCAGAGGGGCTGAATTTAAAAATGGTTGCATTGAATTTTATTTTGTCCATGTTTTTTGTATTGTTTTTGTTTTTTGTAATATTCTTTGTTTTTTTTTTGTCTATGTATTTTGTCCATAGACAGAGAAAACAAAATTTTATTCCTAAGAGCTCAAAAGTTATTAGGTTTGGAGTAACGCTTTTCAAAAGTAGCACAGCAAGTTATTCCTGATTAAATTGAGTAGACCTGTTAAATTCTTGTGCAAAGTGGCAGCTTGCCTCAACACAAGTACTCCAAACAATTGTGACAAATTATATGCAGAACTTTCTTTACTTTCAGAATGGTTAGAAAAGAAAAGACAAATTTGCAACAGAACTTGAAAGCATCAGACCAATCAATTATACAAAGACAATTTGCTCATTGCTTACAAAATACCTTGCAATATATGTTATATGTGATACAATGTTAGAGTTTATGTTCACTGGCATAAATATCTTGAATCAGAGTCATTTTAGACTGATCTGCTTTGTAAGGGTTAAAATGACTCAGAGAAAGGTCCATAATATATTTATTCCCACGAACATAAACTGCACTACTAAAGTACTATTATCATCATTTTGGACGGTATTGAGAAATTAAAAACCAAAGAAACACAGTCTGAACAATTGAGCAAGTATCTGAGCAAGCTAAAACCCATTGTAGCTACAAAATGTGCCACAATGCATGGCAAAGTGACATTAATATGTGTTATGTGTTTAATACCAACTATGGTTTATACCATTGATTCAGGTGTCTATATAACTTATGTACAATGTCCTTTTTTTTCCCTTTCTTTCGGCAACTGAAATGTCATTTCATAAATTTAGATGGCTCAATAGTGTATTGAATAAAAAGCTTAGCTTGGAACCCTGACTGGAGTATGTTAGTGTTTCAAGGGTAAACAAGTGGTTTGAGGAAAATGTGAGGATTGACCATAAAGTGTGTGGGTCTGGGGCAAAAAATAGGTTACTTTAAAAAATTGGAAAATGAAGAACAGGGAATTGAAATTGAAATGAAAAAATCATTTAATAGGATTTGAAGGTCTTAATGAAAATTTGCCAACAGCTAAGAATCAAGAAGTTTTCTTTTTCCTTTTTTTGTTATATTTAGTGTATAACCTAAGATCAAGTTTAATTTGGAACAGTGAAGAAACTTAATGTGGATTTGCTTTTTTCTTTGTTTCAATTTTAAAATTAGAAGGTGCTTTGATTGTAAATGTAACACAAGTTAGAATGACTGATGTTGAAAAGGACATGTCTAGTTGGGTCAGTGAGGGAGGTTGCTGGAAACCTTCGAAGTGTAAAGCCAGGGTTAAGGTAAGATGTTGTCTGTTCTTTGTTTGATTGTAAAACTAAATCAAAAGAAATTGCGACAGGCTCTCTAGACAAGGATATATATCATAGGGAGATGATGTCATCCAAATAGTATGTCAGTTTTCAGGCACAGTATGTGCAGCAAACAAAAACAAAATGTAATTTCAGGTTTGCCTTTGACACCCATGGGAAATGTTCTCTATCAGCCTAGACTGAGCAGATTAAGTGTTGTACATTGCTTGACACAAGTCAGTTCCAATTATCTTGGATTTTAGAGTTAACAAACAATTGCAATGCTGTAACACTGTTCTCAGAACCATTCAAGCTCTTTAAATACCTGTCAAAGTAATTTTTTTGGGAAAAAACACTTTTATCCTTGATACTTCAAGTGCTTAAAAGAAAATTGCTGCTTCACTCTTTTATATAAGAGTGACTAAAATCTAATTTCCCCTCACAATATCAACCCTTAATCAAACACTATGGTCATGAGAATAAAAGAAATGATCAGCAACTGCAGAAGCTCTTGATTGTTGAACAAATTCTCCTTGTCTGCACCTTAGGAAATGTAAAGAGACCAGTATGGAGAAATATGTTGATATTAAGGTGTAAACAGTTAAAGTAAGGTAATTTTGCAACAACAAAGATACAAAATTTTATTGGACGTGTGTTATTTAACATGTATTTCATTGGACAATCTCTCACCAGATGTCCCTCATTATTCCATACCGCAATCGTTATGAGCAACTGTCTATCCTAGCGAGACATATACACCCCATGCTAAAGAAACAGAATTTGGACTACAGAATAATTGTTGTAGAGCAGGTCTGTATTGGGAACTGTTTTTTGTTTAGTTTAAATTAATAGTGATATGTTTGTGGTTCTTGTTGCTTTCTGGGATGTTAAATGGGTCTATAACGATCATTATCTGATGTGTTTCATTTGCATAAGACTCAAAGCTGTTTTATCAGCGTAAGTGTCTGCTAACTATGGAAAGCTATCCCTAATTTAAGCCTTAAGTTCTTCAGATTGTTTATGGTCCTTTGTGCATGCCACTATCTCATATACATGTTGCACAGGTATGGTGTCAACTTCCAGAGCCATAAAAAAACCTTTAGGAAAAACAACCTAAAGAGCGACAAGCATCTAATTTCTCCTTACAAGATCACCTCTGATTCACATATTCAGGTCACAGGATTGAATAAAGGAAATTATCATCAATTAATAGAGCTCATGATTGTTAAACAAAGTCTCCTTGTCAGTACCATGGGAAATGTGTAGAGAAAAGAATGGAGAATGTGCAAACTGATGATGAATTGTAAAGGGTTAAAACATATTTTAATAGTGGTTAGTTTTATTTAGAGTTGTAGTTGGGTTAGAGTTAGAGTTTCAGTTTTAAAATGGAGAGAAAATATTTTAGTTGTTGTAGCAATAAGGCATGATACATTGAGGAAGAAGGCTTTGTGATCCAAGACTCTTTTTACCTTCTACTTGGCAAGTTTGCCCAAGCTACATGTTGTTGTCTTCTAACTACTTCACATGTTTATGAGAGTTTTTAGTGAGCTACAAACTGTTGCAAAATTAGTAGAGACATTTTGTATGTATAAGATCCTTAGTTCTATGCTGTATGTCAGACTATGATCTTGCAAAAAAAATTGCCCCTTCCCTCTGATTAAAGTTACTGGCTAAGCAATGCTATGCCTTACACCTATATTAATAAGAGGGGGTGGGGAGGGGTGGGGAATCTTTGTTTATTGGATATTGATTTGTAAGAAAGGCAGGTTTTTTAGAAGGAGTACCTTGCCTGACATTCTTGTGACCGTTCAAGGGTAATACGATAGTATAACTGATTAACATGCTACATTTTTGTTTGCAAAAATTGCTTTTTTCGTGTTTTTTTTTTCTTTGCTCTTCTGTCATTTCAGCTCTTACTCTTAAGAGTGACCAAGACAGAATTTCTCCTCACACTATCACTACAATAACAGGCAGACAAGGGATAAGAATAAAGAAAAGTACCAGTTAGGGGATTATTAGTAGATTCAATACCAAATTCTGCAAACCAACATCATAAGACCTGTATGGCAGACAGTAAGGAGAGTGAAAGGAGTGAAAGGGTTAAATAAGTTTACTGAATATAACAAAGCAGTAGTTTTTATTGCTACTTACCCAGGTCACATGATGAAACGCGTAATTTACCATGATTAGAGCAACTTCAATTGAGTATTATAAGTAATCCAGGATTGCTTTAATTTGACTCAACTTTGCTCAGTGATTGGTGCAGAAAACTCGCGCAATCCTGTCAACCAATCAGATGCAGACTAAAATCAATAATGATTTAAAAATATGAAAAATATGATTTGGATTTATTGATTCTTTTTCTCACAGGCAGGAGATACTCCATTCAACCGAGCCATATTGTTCAATATTGGCTACCAAGAAGCACTCAAGTTTGATGATTACACATGTTTTGTGTTTCATGACGTTGATTTAATACCAGAGGATTATAGGAATGATTACGGCTGCTCCTCATCGCCCAGGCATTTGTCAGTTGCTGTGGATAAATTCAATTATAGGTATTGTATTTCGGATGTAACAGAGGAGGAGTTGGCTGTTTGCAGGTTATATTTTGGATGAAAATATCAGTAAGAGTCAGGTATTCCTATACAAGACTAGGTTTCCTTCTTAACGTATGGTTTTCTTTCAGGCTGCCGTATCCGACCATTTTTGGAGGTGCTGGGTCCTTTACAAAGGACGACTTTCAACTTATCAATGGTTTTTCCAACCAGTTTTGGGGATGGGGAGGAGAGGACGACGATCTGTACAACAGGTGACTGGGTTTTACTCGATTTACCACATGCATTTTGGAATCACTAGTGTTCCTTGTAATCTGATCGGCTCTCACTGATGCGATTTATTCGAGAATTCTAAATCGCATCTTTTCCGAGCCAATGAAGAATCTTCACTAAAATACAACAACCAATCAGATTTCAAGGCTTGTTTAAAGAAACCAATCACATTGCAGGAAAATGAAAACAACTTTTGCAACTTTCTACGAACAAGCTCGCCACTAGATCATAAAAACTAATTTTGCGATTGGACTTCGTGTCGTGCAATTTTGGTCTGAAAGTATATTTTTGATTTCAGAACAAGTTGCGCTCCACTGACTTCAATTATCATTATGAGTTTTCGCTCTAGCGGAACTTCCGCGATTGCATCAGTTTTTCTGCGTCATGGTGCCCAGGCCAGACCATTGAAAAATGCGCATTTCTCTCAACTAATGATATCCAATGCTCAAAAAAACAGCCCAAGAGAGTCAGAAAAGACTGTGTCGCACATAGCAGATGGGAATCGATATCAATAAAGAATTATCTCCACTGATACAGGAAGGTCATGCGTGTGACTCTCTTTTAAGCCCGAATTTCTTTAAAGCTTTTTCTTTTCAACTACGTCAGTTGTTCTCTAACTGCGATGCTGTTTTGAAGCACTCAAGGTTTTTTCTTTTTTTAGTTCTCTGAGTCATTTCGCTCACTCTTTCTGTACTTTTTGTAAGTTCCTACCAAGGACTTTGTCGAAGCGACCTTTTAGGCAAGTCTACCCGTTAGCTTTAGTTCCGTGTATTTCTCCTAAATCACGTCTAAACGAATCAAGCGTCCCGATTGGTTACTTCCTCTCCTGCGCTTGAGGTCGCTTAGATACGAATTTCTCTGAGCTTTGCGTCCTTGCGTTATTTTCCTTTGGTCACCTTAAAAGTGACAAGAATCTTATTTCTCCACACAATACCACCCCTGAATCACACATAAGATCACAAGAATAAAGGAAATCATTACAAACTAAAGAAACTCTTGATTGTTAAACAAACTCTCCTTGTCAGCACCTTAGGAGGTGTATAGAGAACAGTTTGGAGAATACGCACACCGATGTTAGGATGCAAAGGGTTGACGAAATTCCATCACAATCTGCCGTTAAAATTTAAACAACAGGCGACGCTTGACCTTGACCCTTAGCGTAGCATTCATGACGTTTCTAGCATCGTTCCATGACCAACCCAGCCCAGCGGACTCTCCTGTCCAACCCCTTATTGTCCATGCATTGTTCAGGAAGTTTTTGTAACTGTATATGTTTGAACTTTTAGAATAACTGCCGTGGGTCTTACATTGACTCGACCATCCATGATAGTGGGAAGGTATAAAATGCTTAAGGCATTTCATCGTCGCAGTACAAATGGTGACCCAATTCGGTACGTACTGATACTTGATGATTTACAATGTTGTACTTCGAACCTTACACCATTCACGAAACAACTAACAAAATTCCTCTAATAGTTTGGTAGAAAACTCGTATCTCGATGATTGGCGGTCAGTTTCCTATAGTTATTCTTTTATACTCTGTTTGCGACGACTGATCTTTCCCCTGGAAACCACGTGATTTCCCCCTTCCCTTCCCCCCCCCCCCAAAAAAAAATCCTTCTTTTCCCTTGGCGGTGAATAATGACTGTTCCCCGTTTAGATACCTTTCACTTCGGCTCTGACAGCTGATGAGCGGCGGAGTCTTTTCCAACAAGACGACTAACAGTGAGTTGAGATAGCAGGAAGACACGAAGTCAAAAAACAGTTTATTTTCAAACAAAAACGAAAAGAGTTGTTGCAGCCGCGCACGAGATGAGATCACAGCTTCTTAAAAAGGGTCCAGCTATATATGGTGGTTCATAAGAATAATTTGTGTCCCTTGGAAAAGTGGTCACTCACTGGAGGTACTTGCTTATGGGACTCGGTCGCTCAGAGAGGTTCTATTGTTGTAAAAGATGGGAAAAAAAAGAGCCTTAGATAGAGAGCGCATTTTCCCGACCTCCTAGAACCCTGTAAATCCCAAGATTTGATTTTTATTTCTCTCCTCTAGCTGTCACACATTTCCTTGTAAATCAGTTACAAGAATTTGTCGTGAGATCAAGACAAGAAGTTTTACCTGATATGTTCTTGTATTATCATTACCTGTTAAAAAGATTATCTATGGATATTATAGGGAGAAGTGACAGCTTAATCACTTCTGTTAGTTTAAGGGTTAAACTTTGTTACATCGGGGTTCCCATGAATGGGATGTTGCATGCACACTTCCCAAATATTTGCATTTAATCTTGATGTTAAATCTTTCTCGGAACTTTCCAATCCATGTTCACATTGAAGTATTTTTTCAATCAAGAATTCTCTATGTTCAAAATGTTTCTTATTTTGAGTTTACTTGACAAATAAATGTTTTTCAATTTACACGCAGCCACCATAAACTGCAAACTTCGGTTTACCGCATGAGATCCGACGGCCTCAACTCTCTTAATTACACTGTGGAGCAATTGACAGAGCATCCCCTCTACACTTTGGTAAAGGTTGACGTGAAAGACGCTTTGGCTGAATACCACAGGTTATATGGCATAGAAGATCACAACACGTAATTATTAACAAGTCTCTGGGTAGCTTGTGAGATAATTAAAAGGGAATTATTTAAAGCATATAATAGTTGTAACAATTTGTACTTACGGCTTTGTTAATAAAACGGTGATGAAGTTTGCAATTATTCACAATCAGACTCTGGAGAATTTATCAGCCTTTATTGCTTGGAGGCAAATGAACACACGATTCTGTCACGCGGTTTGCCAATTTATTTTCTCTTACAATATCCTTGACATTTTTTCTCACTCAGAAGTGAACAAACAGTCAATGTGGCTTCACGGAGGTTAACAGTTTTATGGTGATACTACCGTAGTTGCACTTTTTTATATCTTTTTACCTTACAGTTAATGGTTTGAACCCAGTGATAACATTTGATCGTGGGGTCTAATCGTTTGGTTGAGAATAGTCCTGATAAGGACCGTTGTTGGTGGCGGTGACTGACGTTTTGACAACCTGAGCGGAAGTCATCTTCAGAGTCAAGTGCAGGGTTTTTGATGGGCGAGAGTTAAGTGCGCTTGCAACTGAACTATAATTCGGCTATAGCTTCACATGAAAGTGGGACTACAACATATTCTGCGTTGGCACATCGAGATAGAAAGAAACGCGGCCGGAAAATGACCTCGCGGTAAAGAAACATTTCTCCTGCCTGTGGTGGAACTTGTACTGATACGGTGTAGTTGAAGAATAAAAGGTCAAAAATAAAGTGTACATATTGCAACAGGCTTCTCTTGCCCTAGACCACACATGATGGGACACATGCAGACTAACTTTAAGGGCGAGACGAGATGTAAGCCAAACTATACAGAAAGGAAGAAATGTGAATCGGTAAAGATTTTAACACTGAATAATAGAACATTCAAAGTAACTCTATCTTAAGATGTCAGTGAAATTAAATGCTTTTGCACTGAGATGCAGTGTCTTTTCTGATTTTTTTTTTTAACTTTCCGATCAGGAAATTTTTTTTTCTGAATCATTCTCGACTGTGAGCTTTATATGTAATTACCCATGAAGCCAACGGTTGGAAGTGACTCAGTAAGAAAAGGTTTTTCAGCGGCCTGGAGGGGTAAACATTTCACGTCTGGCGATGACGGTACAGTACGTCTTTTTTACTTGACACATCCTTTCGACTTCTCTCTGACGCTGACCACGAGGAACGTGGTCCTTTTTAAATTAAAACCCAGACCTCTCGCGTTCTAGTGAACTGGGAAGTCAATATGGCGTCTAATTTGAGACGAATCAATAACGAGCCACATCTTATGTGAAGGTAAGCGCGGCGTATCACTGTTTTATTATTTCAACTATGATTTATCTTTTATTTGAAAAATTTCACAGCAGCTCAAGATTACACCAGAGCATTACAAAGATACGATTTTTTTTTCCATTTTGATTCCATTTTACGAGATAGGCTCGATAAATACACTCCCACTTTTTTTTGTCTAGAAGCTTCCTCAAGATTTTGAATTATACCAGTTTCACTGTATTTTTAAGACTCGGTTATAGTATTAAGTTAAAGGAAGGACGTCTGTACTGTTTATTCAATTTTTTACCCTTCTGATAAAATGATACTACGTATTCTTCGCTTCGATCGCTCACTGCCGGATGTGAGATTTTATTAATACGAGAACACAGATTTGTGTCCACTAGTGGAAATGTAATAATCTTATGATTTTGTCAATGCTATTGGGATTCGTAAATCTAAGACAATTTTAAAACTCATTTGACGAACAGCAGGTGCAAGTTTGAGATCTTTTGCAAGTTAAATCAGCTCTAATGAAAACTGATTCATGTAACTTATAACTGAGCGGAGCTCCCCTAATATAAAAAGAAGAGCCGCAGTCCCAAAGGCATTCTATTGTCTTGCCATTGTTTTCCTTATCCAAGAAACTGCATGCATAATTTGAAGGGGCTTTAAACAAATCTTGCCAAAAGAGATCCACAATTGTGCTTGAGGTTTTGAGTTTAGCATACAGCCTCCCAGGGTTATTCTCAAGACTGAAAGTGCAGGTTTTTCCAGATTAGAACTAACCTTTTTAATCATGCAAAATGGCATACAATTTTTTTGTAGCCTTGTTTCTTGTGATGAAGTGGTTTTTGAATGAATTGTTTTCATAGTTGTATCATGGAATGGGCTTATGTGCCATTTGCAAACCATGCATCATTTTTAAAATATTCACAAAAAGTTAGTCAGAGATACCAAAGTTCTATGACAAAACTTAAGATGAGACTCATTTTAAAGAACTTATTTTTACCTAAATTCATTTCACCACTTGAAAAATAATTTTCCAAAGTACAATGCAAAGATAAGTTTGCAGCTCTATTACAAACGTTTGTCTTAGTTAGTCAATGGAAATCAAATTTGTCTGCCTTAAAAAGTATATCTGAAGCCAGAGACATCAGTACAAATGAAGGTGAATATGATCCCCTCCTAAATTTGTGGTTTAGGATCCTGTTCAAATTTGAAATTTTTCAGAGTCTATTTCCACAACTACTTTTGTTATTGTTGCTTGTTTAATTGCCAGTATCCTTATCTAATTTATTTCTAACAAAGGGCTAATGTTCAAATGTCAGCTTTGAAGCTCTTTACAGTGGCCAGATTACGTTATCAACTCCATTGATTAACAAACAAGCAGACTCTTGTTACTGACTTTGAAATGAAATTAACTTTGATGACTTTCCTTGTCTCTGACAAGTAAGAAATGGTCAATTTAAGAAGGTAATCATTAATCCAAGAGTTCATGCTGCAAAGTGTTGACTTTTGCTAATTTATGGACAAGGAAGTAGAACAAAAATTTAAAAAAAATTTTTTGGAAACTTTGAATCTCTGTTTTTCATGATCTTATTTTACCACTTCTTGGCAAGATTTATTATAAATTTTAAAACAATTTTTCAGATTGAGTAGATTTTCATCAACACAGTTTTAATGTCTGATAAAGCCCTAAGTTATGAAAAATGTATTTAAACCTAAAGGGGAGTTCTACAGCTTTTGTCAAGGACTTTGGATCAAGTTGTAGGTGGTATTCCAGTAATTTGTTGCAAGGCACAAATTACTTTGACAATGTTCTCTTCCAGGTATGTGTGGATGGGTTGGAGTAAAATGTACCTCAGCTTGTGAAACGTGGAGTTCCCCTGCTCAAATCCTGTGATATTCCTCTTTACAAGATTTTTCCCGCAATATTCTCAAATTTAACTTCTGCTCCATCCCTGCACAGTTGAATGGGCCAGCTTATTCAGCCATCCGCTGTTTGTAATTTTTAGCAACATGGTGTCTTTTTATTCTGATTGTTTAGGTATTCACAGTGGGGTATCACCAGGAAAGGGCTGGGTGAATTGTAACCTATTCAAAGCTATTAACCTCCTACACCCTAATGTCAAGATGCATATTCTCTATATTGTCCTTTATACATTTTCTAAGTTACTCCTAAGGAGAATTTGACAAACACTCAAAGGAGTGTCCTAAGTTGGTGATCATTTCCTTTATTCTTACGACGTTTATGTGTAATTCAGGGCTGATATTAATTGTAACTAGAAACTAGATGCTAGTCACTTGTAGGGTCAAAGAGTTGAAGAATTAAACAATTGTTTTCTTTTGTTCTAATTGTTGTGACAATCTGATGGTGAAGGAAAAGTGGGGACGGAAAACCTGGATTAATTGGAAAGGAAATGAGAAGTTTCCTTGCTAACGATGAATACCACAGTCACCCATTTCACCACCAAAAATTCAAATTTAAACTGTCCTCTGAGTCGTGACCCAGCAGGTGTCTGTCTGCTAGTTTCTCTTGACTTTCTGTAAAGTTTAAATCTAAAGGTTGTGAATTTCTTTTTCCATTTTAAGATACTTGAAAATGACTGGGAACGATGGAAAATTGGAACACACTGTCTTCTGTCCCGAAAAATGTTCATTACGTCACAACGAGATGATTCTTGCATTATGTGGCAATGAAGATCACAAAAAACCATCGGATTTGTCATCTTTAAAAGTTGCACTCTACTCTCATCTTCAAAATGGATGGAATGCCCATTGTAATGTTCCGGATGCTCTTCCAGAGTTCCGCTTCCCGCTGGTTCACTGGGCATGCGTGTTGGGTAGAACTCAAGCTTTGAACTGGCTTCTTACAAAGCTGAAATTCAAGGCATTTGTGACAGTCGAACGAACCGGCGAAACGGGTTTGCATCGAGCTCTGAGGCTACTTCATCAAGTGGAAAGTCGCGATGCCAAGCCTCGGTCTGTCAGATTCATTTGCAACAAGTTTCGTTCGATTGTTGTCAAGCTAACTGAGCAAGACCCTAGTGGCTTGTTTTTGAAAGACAAAGTTCAAGGAAATACGGTTTTCCATATGTGTGCACTCTGTATAAGCGAACAGGAATCTGTCAGTAGTGAATTAGATTACTACGACAATTGCATGAAAATCTTGCTCCAATGCGTCGATGAGCTAAAGAATACAGAGAAACTGCCCACAGATGCGCTGCACAGAGCCATCAATTCCCAAAATGACAGAGGCGAAACGATTCTTCACATACTTGCACGGAACAATTACTCCTTCCTAACGGTCAAGTATATCCTGTCCGATCATAAAGAGATTGTGGACAGGGTTAGAAAGAACCATGAACACATGACCCCGCTTGACATTGCTCGCGATCGACAGGCAAACCTCGTAGAAAAAGAACTTGATTCTGAAGGAGTTGGAATAGATCACCTTGCGCGGAATCATCCGGATTTATATCAGCTTTATACTCAAGATACTAACGATGCTTACCTTTGCGAAGACCAGTTTTCGCCTAATGGTCAAGTCACTCTTAGCACTGATAATTCTGTAACCACGGCCCAAGATTCTTCAAGGGCGTATCCTTTGCGTTTAAGTAGTTTGGTTCAAAGAGAAGGGTTTTATTGTTCGTCCTCTTTAGATCCGCAGAGATCTTCTTCGGAGGATAGTTCACAGGACGAGGGAGCTCAGTCTCCGTCAGTTCTTGACAGTCTTTCAGTTCCTTTGTCACAGAGTCTTTCAACGAGTACTGAAAACACTGCTGCGTATGACAGCCAGTCGACTGTCGACTCTGATTCGGAGGGTGGATCTCAACGCAACAGGAATGAAGATGACAGCGGCGTTATTGTAGTTGTCGACGAAGATCCTATACGAATGCGCGTACAAGACCAAGGTGATACATGTGTTGTTAAAGAACTCAACAATTGCACAGTTCCATCCGTCCCTAATTGCGATAAAAACGTTGTCGTAGTGGATTTTCCTTCTAGTTCAAATTCATGCCCAGGAAGTGTTCTATTTTCTGAACCTGGGTTAGCAATGGAAGAAAGAAAGGACGTGCCAGCTTTGACGGGGCGAAACGCCCAAGAGGAGAGTGCATGTGATGCACTTGGTGACCGTCCATTATTTCGTGAGAATAATGTGTCCAGTGCTCTTGCAAAAGTTATTCGCGAAGAGACTGATGTTGCGAGTATGTTGGTGGCGAGACTTCAAGATAAAAAGGAACAAACCCGTGTGACTTTGCGGGCAGCGCAGCGATCGCTGATAGATAAACAGGCAACAGAGATAGCGGCCACCAACAATCTTCAGCAACTGAAAGTAGAGATGGAACATTTAAGAACTCAAAACGAACATGTGAAGCGTAGAAGGGAAGAATTGTTAGCAGAGCTTAAGAGTATAGAGGAAAGTGTGAACCATTTTGAAAAGCAGTCGCTTACAGTTCAGTCTAAGATCGAAGAACAAGCTAAGGTCGTTGCAAGTTTAAAAGCAGAGCGTGAAAAGGCCAACAAAGAGTGTGTTTCTCTAAAACGCAAATTTACCGAATATAGCGAAGCTTTAAATGACATTGGTTCCCCTTGTGAGGGGCCAAAAACTAAAAAGGAGTGCTTTGAAAATGTTGCCTCTCAGTAACATTGCCCATAGCAAGCACATTCTTGTCACACACTAGGTATTACGAGTTATGCTGAATCGGAATTGTAGTATTTGCAATACATAGAGGTGAGAAAATATTAGCCGATGTTCTGTTGCTAGAGTCTAGAGTGGTCCTTCATCTGTAGCATCAGAGTGTGAAACGAGACTGAACTGATTAGCTGTCAATTGCTCTGTTGTTTCTTGATCATTAGTCCTTTACACTAAGATCTCAGTATGTTTAATCTTCATAGTGATCTTTACATGTTTCTTAAGGTGCTGATTTACATGTTTCTTAAGTTGGTAATCATTTCCTTTATTCTTTCGACCATAATGTATGATTCAGTGATGATATTGTAAGGAGAAATTAGATGCTAGTCATTGGTTTTAGTCAAAGGGTTAATACATGCTTGTCTTTTGAAGTGAATTGGGGTTTGTTCATAAGTTTGTTTTGTTTTTAGTTTTACTTAGTGTTTTTTTTTTCTTTTATTTTTTCAGAAAAAAATAGTGGTATTTCGCACTCGTTTTCAGACCTATCTGGTTTTGTGCATTAGTAAGAATTGGACCTAAATTTTTCTTTTAAGTTTGTCCAGTGACTACCTCATTACTCTTTTTCTGAATTTGAGTCAAGATTTTGCGTTAACGGTTTGAGAACAAAATTTTGAATTGTGTAAAGCAAACTTTGATTTTCTGTGGTGTCTTTGATGCTCCAGCACCGTCTTCTGAAACGCTCTGAAACTCGACCACTATCTTGGCATTTTATTGAACGTTACCATCGCTGCTTAATTTTTCAAAGGTTAATATGATATTGATGCTAAAATTTTGCGCCAATATCAAGGAGTAATTTGTGACTCATGAGTTTGGTTATTTTTGATCCGTCAATATTACAGGTCAATTTATTTTTACAATGATAAGTCTTCTAACGGAAGGGTAATAGATCAATTAAGTCTTAAAGATTACGTTACTTTCCCTTTGTCTCTGTGTTTCTCGCTGTTGTGTTTGGCTCTCGCTAGCACGCTTAGCAGACCTAGATTTTGCGTCTGTCACGCAATTTCATAGCGTCGTCAAATGACTTCCTCGCGCTCGAAAAGTCACTCGAGCCTAAAGCGCGAGCCTGCGTGGAATGAGCGTTTCACGGCTGGGTGCCTCTTGTTGCAAGTGGTCAGAAGACGGGTTGATGATGGAAATGTGTCATGACAGCATAACAATTTGGCTCAGGAAAACGCGTTGTTTTCGAAGTTGAAAGAGGTTTTTTAGTAAATAGATTCCTCTCTATGCCTGAATTTTAGTCGCCTATTTCAAATCCTGAGGGAAAAACGATCATCAAGGAAACGAATATTTTACAAACAGAAAACTGTTAACTTCAAAAACGTGTCAGTTTCCATGGCAATGTCATCGATACTTTGTCAATGCGCATAAAATCGCCTTATTATGGTCTTGCAGACCCGTTCAAACAACAATGCACCGGTTCCCTTGGGTGAACTGAGCAGTGCAGTGCATCAGTCGCTATAAGAATTTCGCTTCCTCTGTATGTGTGACGGCTAAACTATAGAGCAGAATGGATTGGGAATTCGAAGGAGAGCGCAAATTGGTGTGTAGATTTATTTCACAGACATGCTGTAGCTTTAGTTTTGGTGGTATTATTTGAGAACAGTAAATATCATAATTTACTCGTCAGAACGCGTTTTTATTTAGTTGAAGAGCGCCGTGCGTTACTTTGTGTTTCGCTGGAGATAATTTTCGGCTCTTTTAACATCTCTCGATAAAATTTTCCCAATTCATCGCAGAGAAAGCAGAGTCGAAGGAATTACAACTACGACACAGATGATATTATCGAAGGGAAACGAACATTTAGCGTCGAGGAAAAGCTAAACAGTCCTAAATTCACGGAGGGAGATTTCGTGCAGAAACTCACAGGAGATGGTGGGTGAAAAGAATTGCCTTGTTGAATAAAGTCATTTTATAGAAAACTTCTTTGCTTACTGTTTGTCTTACTATTGTAGAATTAAACCTAAAGTTTATACAAGAAAACGGCTTTTCCTTTCCCATGGTAATCAAACACCCAGACGGGTTAGATATGCGGTACGTATTTTGTTCAGCCTTCACGGGTTTCTGCAAATTTTCTCAGTCATTTTTCAAATTTCTAAGAGTAAGCTTATTAAAGCTCAGACTTCTCTGAATTTTACAACCATTGTAGGGTTCCACGGGAAGACTTTTCAGTAGAAGATGTCAAGAATTTTGTCGGTGAGCTTTTGAAATTATTTCAGAATGTTTACCAATTAGATGTGTGTAGTTTGAAACTGCAGATTATCAGAATCGACACATCGTGATCTCAGACCGATCCTTATGTTTATGATGGCTAGGAGCTCGAAGAATGGTGGATGTGATCGATGTCAACACTCAGCAAGCGTTAGAAATGACTTTACAACAGTGGGTGAAATATTTTACGAGTCCAGAGCGTGAGGATATCTATAATGTTATCAGCTTGGAGTTTAGCCACACGAAATTAGAAGATTTGGTCGAGCCTCCTAAAATGGTAAGCATTGAAATTTTTCCTTTTCATTTATGAGCCAAAGAGAATTGATTTTTTATTCAATTGATGCACCTCTTAAATTAAGGCCATTTTGTCATTACTTTCAGTTCTTATCGTGGTTTGAGTTTGTGTTTCGCTGAAGTGATATAATTTACATTATTGGTTGCTTGTTAGTTCTTAAATGTCACTAAAGTTAAGTAATTGTTGTTTTTTAATTTGAACGTGTTCTGTAGAGCTTCTTTCTTTTGAAAAAGTTGCATCTCGTGGTCGAGTTTCGCTGAATGGAGTGTGCAGTGTCTTTGGCACGACCTTCTCGTGGTAACTAGTTGGTTTGGAACTAGCGAAAGCGATATAAACGCAGATTTCATTCGTCACTTCGCCCAGAATACTATTTTACCCACAGAAATCGATCTAAGCTTGATGAAAAAGAACTAAAGAGGTTATTTTTTTAAGATGTCCAAGAACTGAGCCTTGTGGAAGCCCCCCTGATAACACGACTATGCCCCAACTTTCAGTACTAACCACACGCCCTCCGAAAACAAAATCTAAAACGGTGATGAAAATCCAAGTCTGATTTGTACTTGGTAAATTTGACTCCATTATGTATGTTGTTTTTCTACTGGAGTGATTGTGAGATCATTTTATTGAAGTATTTTAATTGGTGGCGAGGATCTTGTAACTAAGCCTGAAATCGTAAGGTTTTTGACTGGCTGTAGTCCATGAAACACTGCCACCACAAATTCAAGAAACCTTTTCGGTCTCGGTAAAGCAAACTGGCGAGTGAATTATAGCCGCCCTTTCAAAGAGATTACTTCTTACTAATTACTAATTGTTACTAGTTTCGGTCCAGAAGCAATTGTGCGAAGCTTCTCTTGACTTTTGGGTACGTTCCTTTGCTTGCAACCGCAAATGCGTCACCCTAGCAATCACTCTACAAGTTTTAAAATGACCGTGTGTGTTTACGTTTAATAGTCCCTTTCACGAGACCGTTACACATATTTATCCACATATTATTGGAGAATAAAGCCTGGTTCAGCTTTTTAGTACGATTTTTTACATAGAAGATCAAATAAGTTTTAAATATCGGCAAAAAATGCAGCGTGGCTTGTGTTGCTTTAGTTATGTAAATATGGCGGCAGGCTCCGAGTTAGCTCTTCTTTAACACCGCACGAGATCAAACGAAAGTGAAATTTTAGCCCTAGAAAGTGCGCCGATTTTTAAATGTCATCCTCTGTACTGCATTTCTGATGTTTATCTTGATTGTCACCACAAGTTTTAGACTGGAAATAATCTGCGTGCGATTTTGAGCACGGTTGCTCTTCAATAAGAACTGGTTCAACACTGCTCCTGCAGGTTTCATAAAAAGTATTTTTAGTGGACACAGAATTGTCATGATCAAGGATATGATGAAGATTTTGTCATCGAGTTGCTTGACGTGGGAAATATAATTTGGCTAGGGAATGGGCCATTGCGAAGGCACAATTAAAAAAAGTACATTGGTGCGAGAGTTATTTGACTTAAAACTTATCGAATGACCGTGCTGTGTTCTGTAGTTTGGGTGTAACCGTCTCAGGTACTTGCATTCCTCACTGACCTTTAGAGGGTTCGTTTCGATGCCGAGTTGTGATACGCGTCGCTAAATATTTATCATATTGACAGAATTTACTCTCTTTTGTAATGGAGCAGCTTATAATATTTTATTACATAATATGAATTGAAATAGTCTCTTTTTTCAGTGAAATCGGTCCAAATAATTCTTTAATGGCTCATCTTTTCTCTCTTTAACTATTTCACCAACCAGCATCTTCAAGTTGATCAAAGTTGTTAGAAACGAAAGCTGAGAGTCGGTTTCTTGCAGAAAATATTCGTCCCACAAGAAATGAAACGTTTTGTTCAGCTCATTTTGTAAAATAGGATAAGGGGAAATCGTAATCAATTAAAAAAAGTAATGACAAGCACCAGAAACAAGCTGAAAATAATTGGGAGTAGTTTGAATTTCTTTGCCGTTCGCCAAGATTGAAGAATTTTTGTGTACTCTTCGGTCAATTCCACATAATGAATTGATAAAATCAACATAAATTTCACTACTTCAAGCTGAAATACGACACGATGGTGAATAATTAATGTAAGCAGAAGATATTTAACGTCTTTCATTTTGCATTTACTGGCCTACCTATTCTGGGTTTGGTGAGAGATAGGAAACGTTTTCGCTCGTCAAGACCTTGTAACTCAACCAAGCAGTGGTAATATGTAGTTTTGCCCATGCACCTAGCTGGTTATTTTAGAATTATAATTTTGTACTTGGTTTTCTTTGCGTCTTTTCCTATGAAAACGCAAAAGTAAGTTTATCCTGCTCCCAGATATAACTGTGGATTTTTGAAATTCTGGTGGGGATTCTAAATGATTCAATTTCAGATTATGGAATTCTTATATTTCCTCCATTTCTATCTCTCCCTGTAAATTTTTTTTGTTTTTTGTTTTTTTTTCGTTTTAGTTTCCCACCGCGAAACCAACCATTGGCGTTGAACGGTCATAGGAATTGTAGCTTTTTCTCTGTGAATGGAGGTTGAAGTTCACACAAATGTGCTTTAAAACATGTATTGGTATCCGTGTTTTAATTTTAGCACAGCATGCTTCTTAGTTTATTTTATACTTAATCTGAAAAGTTCGTAGTCTCTTTTATAAAAAGATATACGATTTCTTTCAGGTTCGTGAAATGGACTGGGTGAATGTCGTGTGGCCCCAACATCTCATCGAGCAACAGAGAGATTCAACAAATTCTTTAGCAGATATGAAGTATCCTAAAGTTAGAAAGTAAGTTTTTAAATTAAGGACTATTAATAACTCCTTGATATGTGGTCTGCAGACGAGTTATGTGCATGCACACCGGCGCTTATAAATTTGATTTGGCGGATTAGATCGATCTGAATCAGACCAATTTTTTCACTGAAATTGTCTGTTGTCCATACGCAAGTGACTATCATTCGTGATGAAAATATAGCACGTGCTCAATTGCATGATCATTTCTAACATAAATATACTGAACGTGAAAATTATTCACATCAATGAAATAATGATTTGATTTCTTTGATTCTTGTTCGTCTCAGGCGACATTTGAAGATGGCTTTCGAACTTTTTAAATCTTAATAATGTGAACTATTTAATTAAACTTAGAGTTTTCTTTTGGAAGCTGAAGCTTTTGGACAAAATCAGTATTGAGTCCAGGCTGCCTAACTACTCTCAGCTGGGTTCGAGTGTGGTCACCACGCGCTGAACAGATTAAAGTACAAAGTCGTTTGAGATTTTCTTTAAACACGAAACACTGCTTAATCGCAGTTCTTTTAAAGTGTAGTAAAAACAATTCTCCAAATCAGTCAAGTTAGAGACAAAACTCAAGCGCTCTTGCAACTGAACTAGATGAATATATTCAAATATCTGCGATCAACATGTATTGAATTTGTGCGCTCCATGTTTACTTTCGAAATGTGATTTTGTGTAACTCATAGGGTAACCGTTGGACTCTTTAGTGTTGTTCATTGTATGGTATTTAAAATATTGTTCAAGGAATAACACCTTGCCGTCGAAGCAGGTATTGAAGGACGAGCGTTTTCCGTTGAAATCGCTACGAAACGGCGGAAAACAAAGAACGAAATTCATTTTGAATTCAATCTACATTCCCTGGTGAAATTTTTGCATTTCTTTCCCCTTTCAAATGCTAAAAAAGAGAGGAAAAATCTTCATATAGCGTTCTTAGTTATGAATAGCATTGAGAAAATCTCTTTCGAGACTCTTCGCTTAATTTTGCTCTTCAATTTCGGGTAGAAATCCCATGTTGCAAGATTGCTTTATTGCGTGACTCTCAGGGAACGATAAACAAACTTCTGTTTCATCAACAGTGAACAGCAAGTTATTTTGTAACACGTTTCAGTCGCTTAAGTCCCTTTCAGATGTTACTGTCAAACTGCTGGGGAATGCGTTTTTGACAGTTGGGCTTGTTCGTCGTGAATAACTTTTTTGTGGTTAGGTTTGTTCATGTTTTCTCTGCTTATGTGGTTATGGTCGAGTGAACAAACCTTTACTGCGTTTTCGTGTCGTCTTCGTTTTGCTTTAGTTCGACAAGGTGAGACTTTCCTTCGGTTCAAGCGCGTTGTAGATTGGCTGTTTGAGCGATTACGTTGGTAGGGAAGCGATTTTTAAGCCGAAAAGGATAGACTGTCTACTCCAAAAGGCGAAGATAGACAAGTAGTTTCTTTACCTCAACTCTAATTGCTAATTCATTCCGCTGTATGCTTAGGAAAGATCACTGGAAACTGGATGCAAAATTTCATTTTTTCGAATCAAGAACGACAAAAAACACTTCACGGAAGTATTATTTAAAAGCATGAATTTCAACTCTTTGCATTCTGGTTCTGTGTTTTGTCAGTCTTTTAAAACGATTTCACCATAACAACAGACTCAAGTAGTTTGAACTTTGAGAGAAACGAAGGGTTCAAATGTTAAAAAAAATTCCACTATAGTCAATTGCTTTTTTAGAGGAGATAACTCCAATATTCTTCAAAAAGTACAATTTCTTTAAGCGAAGATATAAATTTTAACAGCGCCTAAGAGGAATAAAATGTGCAGCTTTGTGGTAAGAACACTCACTGTTCCGAATCAATACAGTGTGCTTTTGTTCAGCTGTAAACACAATTAGCACAACCTTTTCAGAACTCCACTTGGTGTACTTGTGTCTTAAAATTTGTTCATGTATTCTTCGACAGTTTAATCATGCCAATGTGTCAGGAGAAGGTTGGAAAATTATTTGAAAAAAACCGGTCCCTCCTGAAAATATTATGAAAATATTATGATCTCAGTGATAATTTTGATAAATGGAAAAAAATTAATCTCACAAGAATCTGATGTAGACAACAGATTTTATCAGTTAATTGTTTGGTGTATTTGTTATTTTGTGTATTTGTAGTTCGGTTCGACTTTTTGAAGGGTAAGTCCCTCTTCCAACCAACAAAAGTAAACCTGTAGGCAGGCAAGGGAAGTCTTTATTTTGTTGTGTATAAATATAACTTTGAAAATCTTCCTTCCTGATCGACGAAACATTTTCTTGTCCGGCAATACGGTCATTTGTTCTGCCCTCTCATTATTCGAGAGAATATTTCACTAGGCTTATTGTTCCTTCCTGTGATTGCTGTGATAAAAAACCTATCAATGATATTACTTTTAAAAAGTGAAAACCGCTTTATAAAGCGAACAGTTTGATACACGAGTAGTGAAGGAAGAGACCAGAAAAAGCACAGAATGACAAGTAATTCGACAATAAACAGGTAGTTGTCATTTTCGTGCGTTAAAAATGTAGTCCCATTATCTAGACTTTCTAGAATGTTGTCTTTTCTCAAAAGCGAACCAGATTGCAAAATTATCCCGACACGTTTGGGTGTCTGTTTTACCAAATGAACCATTTCGTGCACGAAGGTGGTAACTACCCTCTGGTAATCTTTGATTTTGGTTGGTTTGGTGAGAAGTTGCAACAAAAGCATGTCACAGCTGATGTTCAAACAGTTAATTGTTGTTTGTTTCTTTGAGAATAGCTCTCTCTTAAAGCCCACGCTAATATCCAAGTCTTAAAATAGCCAACAAACCATCCTACCTCTGTTAATGCCCCCATCAAAGAAGCAATTCACTAACTGGTGCTTCATAAAAACTTGTTTACCCCGCCATAAGTTATCATGTAGAGTTGATATTTCAGATCAGACTGCCTTTTTACGTCAACATTAGAAATCAATTGAAAAATGCCTCAGCGCAATTATTATAAATGTTCACAATACCTTCATTTAGCAAATCACAGAAAATTTTTGATGTCTGTGAATCGACTGAGATGGCGTAATTATTTGTCTCTAGGATAACCATGAATAATTATTCTCAGGGTTCTGCATAGAAAGAACAAAAGATGTTTGAACACTTTCCAAAAGCAAACCGTTAACTTCCCTTGCAGAATTAATTAAATGGCGCTTTGCATGCCCTTTTCTTTGACCGATTCAGATTTTATTTTCATTTCAGCAGACGTAAATTTAGCCATGCCGCAAGTATTCACTTTCACGTGTTGCGCAATCCTCGAAACCTTTGTCTGGCATTGTTGAGAATCGAAGCTTCTCGAGGAATCCTGCAAGAATCTTAATAAGCAAAGTCACAGTGAAACCTGTATTTCAGCGCACTTGAGTTCAGGTGACACGTCCATTGAAAGGACACAAACTTAAGTCCCGGCCGAAAAAAACATGCGCGGACACTTCTCTTCAATCAGTACCTTGTTAATATGTCTCAAAAGAGATATTAAACCCTCAATTAAGAAACAAGAATTGTCAACAACAGAAATCCCCCCACGCGCCGTACAGCTATGGAGCAAAAATCGTTTCTGATAGAGGGCCATTTGTGTGGAACTGCTGACTACCCAAAAACGGAGTCTTTCAAACATAGCAGCTGAAGGAATCACTGGCTAGAATGTCGTCCTAGTTTCTGACTCATTTTCAGTAGAAGTTAACCCATTTTAGAGTTTTCTGTGGCAGTTTACATCTTTTTTGTGATAGTTTTACATATGAATCATAGGATAATTTCGTTTCAATAAAAGTAATGCATTGTATCTTCAGAGGATGCTTCACCTATTCGTGAGAGTTTCTTTGGAATAGAGGTTACGCTTTATTTGGGTTTAACTTGGAAGGCCTTTCTCTTACATTACTGAAGGTGTTTAGCTCACTTTCTTGTCTAAAAGTGACCCTTTTTTTCCCCTTAATCAGGTACGTGTTGATGAGTGTTGGTGGCTGCTACACCGACTTTCACATAGACTTCGGTGGCACCTCAGTGTGGTACCACATAATGAGAGGCAGGAAGGTCAGCTATTTTAGTTGTTACACTTAAAACCTATGTGCTCTGCTTAAAACCAAAGGAAAATATCTCAGTGGGCCTTTGAGAAATCACAAGAGGAAAATGAGATGAATTAATTTGATTGAATGAATTTGGTTTTGGTTCCTTATCTGCTTGCCTGGGAGTGGGGCGAGGGTTTTCTTAGACCAATCTTGAGGTGTAGCCAAGCAAATCCAATTCAGTCTGGGAGTACTTTGTACTATCCATTCAACATTTCTCCAAATGTCTTTAAAGCGTGACTTTGCACATCATGGTGATGTGCCAGTGTTCATGAGTGTTGAGTCCTCATCTGGATCTTTGGTGAGACTTGTCACGTAGTTTTAAAGAATTACATGACAGATCTGCCTTGTCACTTAACACTTCTCTTCGTATCATGGAAGAAAGCTTATCTCATAGAGTGTTACCCGAAGAGTATCTTGCGTGTTATGCTAGCAAGACGAAAACATGCCCACTTTGTGCAAGACTTTTTTGCCTTTGATATTAACAATACCAACCGAAATATCCTTTGAACCATGTGTATGTATTTCTTCGAACGGGTTAATAATAGTAATACACTCCTACGTTGCAGGTTTTCTGGCTAATTCCACCCACTGAGAAGAATCTCCATTTGTACGAACAGTGGGTGCTATCTGGAAAACAACAAAATGTTTTCTTTGGTGATCAAGTGGAGAAATGTTGCCGCACTTATTTGGAGAAAGGAGATACGTTCTTGATTCCCACAGGTGAGAAGGAAAACACCATAAGGGGGTAAGAGAAAATGAGTCTCAAGTCATAATTTGGTATACGAAAATTCGATTTTGAGTGTTTCTTTTTTGTTGTTCAGTAGCTCTTTTACTCTTTTATTTTATTTGTGACACAAACCCTTTGATCCCCAAGAGTGACTCGCATCTAACATGTCCTCACAAAATCCCACCTGAATCACACCTCAGGGTCACCAGAGTAAAGCAAATAACCACCAACTGAAGAAGCTCTTGAATGTTGAACAAATTCTCCTTGTCAGCTTCTTAGGAAATGTCTAGAGGACAGTATGGAGAATTTGCATATTGATGCAAGGGTGTGTAGGGTTAGCCTAAGATTTTTATTGGAAGAAACTTTTTAAGTCTACAGTTATGGGGGTCAACAATACTGCAATTTCTACCTGTCATACGAATGGATTATAGGCTGT